CATTGAAATTAAAGGGAAAAGAAGTCGGAAAGTGCCGGTTCTTTTGACTCCTGAAATGATTGCTTCGATGGAGGTGCTGGTGGAGAACAGAAGGGCCTGTTCCATCTCTGACCATAACCCATACTTCTTTTCCCGCCCGGGCGCAGACACCCACATCAGGGGATCAGACTCCCTACGCCAGGTAGCCAAAGAATGTGGTGCGGTGCATCCAGAGATGCTATCCTCAACCAAACTTAGAAAGCACATAGCTACTATGTCTACAGTTCTCAATATGAAAGAGAATGAGATGGACATACTTGCCAACTTCCTCGGCCATGACATTCGCATCCACAGGCAATATTACAGACTACCAGAGGGGACACTGGAGCTGGCCAAAATCAGCAAAGTGTTGATGGCCATGGAGCAGGGAAGAGTGACGGAATTCGAAGGAAAGAGCCTCGACCAGATACAAATTGAGCCTGAAGGTAATTCTTGATATTATTAAAATATGTATGATTTTTTTCCCCTAAAGGCCACTTGTATTTTTATTTTCTGTGCGACAGGGAGAGCAGTAGAGATCCTCTCACAAACGGACGGGCTAAAAGAAACTTCAAGCGGAGAACCTTCAACCATTCATCCAGATGCACCCCATGGTAGTGGCAGTGCCCCTTCTGGTAAGTGTACCAGGTGGGGGATTACAGCCAGGCTGCTTGGTCCTAACCCTGGGAGTGTATATTGCTAATATATTTTTATTTCTCTCCCTAGAACGTGTAAGAAAGCCATGGTCTGCATCTGAGGTGAAGGCTGTGGAGAAGACCATGACACCTTTCATACAGACTGGAAAGGTCCCTGGGAAGTCTCACTGCCTGGCCTGCATTAATGCCTCACCAGATTACCTTAGACATCGGACATAGAGTGGCATTAAATTCTATGTCAAAAATAGAATCACTGCAATTCAAAAAAAATATCTAAAATAAAATTCCTTTAAAATAGTTGTTTGGTTTCTATTGACTGTTTTGTATTACTTAAAGTAGTCCCAGTAAAAAAAGATTATGTCTATGGGTCCCATTCTGAACGGCCCTGTCAAAGGGACCCACCAGGTAACAAAAACGTGTGTGTGTGTGTGTGTGCGTTTGTTTTGTGGACATATAAGGACTTTTGTATGATAACACACCTTCAATATCAGGACCTGAGGAAATGTGGGGACTTTTTTCAGGTCCCCATTTTCCCATGCATACTACAGTGTTGTAGAGGCCCAGAACAAGCTCCACACCAAAAATCAAGCATGTCCCAAAATGTCTACAAATGTGAAAATGTGTGTCGGGGCCGAAACACTCCGTCCCAAAAAGTTTGAAGCGCCTCTCTGGTCGTGCACGGTACTACCTTAACACACTTTTAACACACACACACACCTGTGAAAGTCCTTTACTCTCATCAGACCCACACCTCACCTGTGAAAGTCCTTTACTCTCATCAGACCCACACCTCACCTGTGAAAGTCCTTTACTCTCATCAGACCCACACCTCACCTGTGTAAGTCCTTTACTCTCATCAGACCCACACCTCACCTGTGAAAGTCCTTTACTCTCATCAGACCTACACCTCACCTGTGAAAGTCCTTTACTCTCATCATACCCACACCTCACCTGTGAAAGTCCTTTACTCTCATCAGACCCACACCTCACCTGTGAAAGTCCTTTACTCTCATCAGACCCACACCTCACCTGTGAAAGTCCTTTACTCTCATCATACCCACACCTCACCTGTGAAAGTCCTTTACTCTCATCAGACCCACACCTCACCTGTGAAAGTCCTTTACTCTCATCACACCCACACTTCACCTGTGAAAGTCCTTTACTCTCATCATACCTACACCTCACCTGTGTAAGTCCTTTACTCTCATCAGACCCACACCTCACCTGTGAAAGTCCTTTACTCTCATCAGACCCACACCTCACCTGTGAAAGTCCTTTACTCTCATCAGACCCACACCTCACCTGTGAAAGTCCTTTACTCTCATCAGACCCACACCTCACCTGTGAAAGTCCTTTACTCTCATCAGACCCACACCTCATCTGTGAAAGTCCTTTACTCTCATCAGACCCACACCTCACCTGTGAAAGTCCTTTACTCTCATCAGACCCACACCTCACCTGTGAAAGTCCTTTACTCTCATCACACCCACACTTCACCTGTGAAAGTCCTTTACTCTCATCATACCTACACCTCACCTGTGAAAGTCCTTTACTCTCATCAGACCCACACCTCACCTGTGAAAGTCCTTTACTCTCATCAGACCCACACCTCACCTGTGAAAGTCCTTTACTCTCATTAGACCCACACCTCACCTGTGAAAGTCCTTTACTCTCATCAGACCCACACCTCAACTGTGAAAGTCCTTTACTCTCATCAGACCCACACCTCACCTGTGAAAGTCCTTTACTCTCATCAGACCCACACCTCACCTGTGAAAGTCCTTTACACTCATCATACCCACACCTCACCTGTGAAAGTCCTTTACTCTCATCAGACTCACACCTCACCTGTGAAAGTCCTTTACTCTCATCACACCCACACCTCACCTGTGAAAGTCCTTTACTCTCATCATACCTACACCTCACCTGTGTAAGTCCTTTACTCTCATCAGACCCACACCTCACCTGTGAAAGTCCTTTACTCTCATCACACCCACACCTCACCTGTGAAAGTCCTTTACTCTCATCATACCTACACCTCACCTGTGAAAGTCCTTTACTCTCAGACCCACACCTCACCTGTGAAAGTCCTTTACTCTCATCAGACCTACACCTCACCTGTGAAAGTCCTTTACTCTCATCAGACCCACACCTCACCTGTGAAAGTCCTTTACTCTCATCAGACCCACACCTCACCTGTGAAAGTCCTTTACTCTCATCAGACCCACACCTCACCTGTGAAAGTCCTTTAACTCTCAGTCCCAGGCTGCTGAGGACCTGTGCAGACCAGCTCTCTGGGGTCCTCAGCTACATGTACAACCTGAGCCTCAGCCTGGAGAAGGTCCCTGTCCTGTGGAAGACCTCCTGTGTGATCCCGGTTCCAAAAACAGCATACGCCAAGGAACCGGCTCACTACAGACCAGTCGCACTCACCTCCCACTGACCTCCCACCTGATGAAGACAATGGAGCGGCTCATCCTCACCCATCTCCGCCCGCCGGGAGCGCTGTGAGGGTCATGTTTTTCGACTTCTCCAGCGCTTTCAATACCATCAGGCCGGCACTGCTGCGGGGGAAGATGGAGGACGCGGGAGTGGACAGTAGCCTCACTGCATGGACCATCAACTACCTCTCAGACCGACCACAGTACGTGCGGCTGCGCAGCTGTGAGTCTGAGGTGGTCGTCTGCAGCACTGGGGCCCCTCAGGGCACTGTCCTCTCACCGTTTCTCTTCACCATCTACACCTCAGACTTCACACACGACACACACAGCTGTCACCTGCAGAAGTTCTCCGACGACTCCGCCATCGTGGGCTGTGTGTCTGAGGGGAACGAACTGGAATATCGGTCGGTTATCAAGGACTTTGTCGACTGGTGTGAGCGCAACCACTTATGCTTGAACACCAGTAAGACCAAGGAGATGGTCATCGACTTCAGGAGAAAACCACTTTCCCACACGCTGCTGAACATCCAGGGGGAGGACATTGAGCTGGTGGACAGCTTCAAGTACCTGGGTGTTCACATTAACAATAAACTGGACTGGTCCATAACACCAACGCCCTGCACAAGAAGGGCCAAAGTCGCCTCTTCCTTCTGAGGAGGCTGAGGTCCTTCTGAGGAGGCTGAGGTCCTTCGGAGTGAGCAGGCCTCTGCTCAGGACTTTTTATGACTCTGTGGTAGCTTCTGCCATTTACTACGCTGCCGTGTGCTGGGCCCCGGGCAGCACAGAGCGGGACAGAAACAGACTGAACAAGCTGGTCAGGAGGAGGTGAGGGACAGGAGGCCCCTGGACTCTGTGGAGGAGGTGAGGGACAGGAGGCCCCTGGACTCTGTGGAGGAGGTGAGGGACAGGAGGCCCCTGGACTCTGTGCAGGAGGTGAGGGACAGGAGGGTGCTAGCCAAAGCCACCTCCATCATGAACAATACCTCCCACTGCACAGGACTGTAGAGGAGCTGAGGAGCTCCTTCAGTGGAAGACTGAGGCACCCTCAGTGTAGGAAGGAGCGCTACCGCAGGGCCTTTATCCCCACCGCTGTCAGACTGTACAATAAGTCACTTTAAATGATCACTGTGTGAAAACCTGCACTACTATTGACACTGTTTCCAATTGACACTTGTCACTTTTGTTGTACATAATTATTGTCACTTTATTGTACATATATCCTGCATGTAACATGTTTGCACATTTCCTCCCTTTGCACAATCTGAGTGTCTCTATCCATGCCAAATGTGACATGTACATTTCTCCTCTGTGAGATAAATAAAGCAATCTTATCTTATCTTATCATCATACCCACACCTCACCTGTGAAAGTCCTTTACTCTCATCATACCCACACCTCACCTGTGAAAGTCCTTTACTCTCCCTCGGTCGCCGTGGAAACTGCAGACTGCTGTTTAAAGCTGGGGTACCTGACTTTAGAACCACACACATTGAACTTTGTGACAAAATCCATCCAACAAGTTCCATTTATTAATGTTTTATTATTTTTTTGATCATAAATGACAATGGTTACACACACACCCCCATGGTCTAGGTCTTGATGGTATCTCATGACATATAATTAGATGATTATATAAGAAGCCGCAGTAAACACACAGTATTATGTACACACAATAAAAGACACTAAATACAGATAATATTGTTTTCACATCTGTGTATGATCCGTGTGTGAATGTGCCATACAAGTGTCGTTGATAAATGAGACAGATTCCATCCACAGCTTTTTCATTCTGAGCCCAAACAGAGAGAAATAAAACAACAGGATCAAAGCTGAACAGAAGGAGGCGTTTACACCCAGAGCATCATGGGAAATATTTACACTTCACTCATTTCTCCTGCTCCCTCTCCTCCTCTCTCCTCTCCTGGTCGGTCTCCTCCTCTCTCCTCTCCTGGTCGGTCTCCTCCTCTCTCCTCTCCTGGTCAGTCTCCTCCTCTCTCCTCTCCTGGTCGGTCTCCTCCTCTCTCCTCTCCTGGTCAGTCTCCTCCTCTCTCCTCTCCTGGTCGGTCTCCTCCTCTCTCCTCTTCTGGTCGGTCTCCTCCTCTCTCCTCTCCTGGTCGGTCTCCTCCTCTCTCCTCTCCTGGTCGGTCTCCTCCTCTCTCCTCTTCTGGTCGGTCTCCTCCTCTCTCCTCTCCTGGTCCGTCTCCTCCTCTCTCCTCTCCTGGTCCGTCTCCTCCTCTCTCCTCTTCTGGTCCGTCTCCTCCTCTCTCGTCTCCTCCTCTCTCGTCTCCTCCTGGTCCGTCTCCTCCTCTCTCCTCTCCTGGTCCGTCTCCTCCTCTCTCCTCTCCTGGTCCGTCTCCTCCTCTCTCCTCTTCTGGTCCGTCTCCTCCTCTCTCGTCTCCTCCTCTCTCGTCTCCTCCTGGTCTCCTCCTCTCTCCTCTCCTGGTCCGTCTCCTCCTCTCTCCTCTCCTGGTCCGTCTCCTCCTCTCTCCTCTCCTGGTCCATCTCCTCCTCTCTCCTCTTCTGGTCCGTCTCCTCCTCTCTCCTCTCCTGGTCCGTCTCCTCCTCTCTCCTCTTCTGGTCCGTCTCCTCCTCTCTCCTCTCCTGGTCCGTCTCCTCCTCTCTCCTCTCCTGGTCCGTCTCCTCCTCTCTCCTCTTCTGTGATGACCTCATTCATCAGGATCATGGTCTCATGTGTCTCACTAGCGCCTCTTCTGGACTTAACCTGAAACAACAAGACATCCACTGGTCTGAACCAGGTCTGAACCAGGTCTAAGCCAGGTCTGAACCAGGTCTGAAGCAGGTCTGAACCAGGTCTGAAGCAGGTCTGAACCAAGTCTGAACCAGGTCTGAACCAGGTCTAAGCCAGGTCTGAACCAGGTCTGAAGCAGGTTTGAAGCAGGTCTGAAGCAGGTCTGAAGCAGGTCTGAAGCAGGTCTGAAGCAGGTCTGAAGCAGGTCTGAACCAGGTCTGAACCAGGTCTGAACCAGTCGCTGTAGCAGAAGTAGTAGCAGTAGTAGCAGCACCTTGTATAAGCAGAAGTTGTTGCAGTAGCAGTAGTAACTTGAAGCGTCCCTTCTCAGGTCTGTCCTGTACATGTGTGTGTCTGGTGTACTGCAGAAGTCTGTCCTGTACATGTGTGTGTCTGGTGTACTGCAGAAGTCTGTCCTGTACATGTGTGTGTCTGGTGTACTGCAGAAGTCTGTCCTGTACATGTGTGTGTCTGGTGTACTGCAGAAGTCTGTCCTGTACATGTGTGTGTCTGGTGTACTGCAGAAGTCTGTCCTGTACATGTGTGTGTCTGGTGTACTGCAGAAGTCTGTCCTGTACATGTGTGTGTCTGGTGTACTGCAGAAGTCTGTCCCTGTACATGTGTGTGTCTGGTGTACTGCAGAAGTCTGTCCTGTACATGTGTGTGTCTGGTGTACTGCAGAAGTCTGTCCTGTACATGTGTGTGTCTGGTGTACTGCAGAAGTCTGTCCTGTACATGTGTGTGTCTGGTGTACTGCAGAAGTCTGTCCTGTACATGTGTGTGTCTGGTGTACTGCAGAAGTCTGTCCTGTACATGTGTGTGTCTGGTGTACTGCAGAAGTCAGTCCTGTACATGTGTGTGTCTGGTGTACTGCAGAAGTCAGTCCTGTACATGTGTGTGTCTGGTGTACTGCAGAAGTCTGTCCTGTACATGTGTGTGTCTGGTGTACTGCAGAAGTCTGTCCTGTACATGTGTGTGTCTGGTGTACTGCAGAAGTCTGTCCTGTACATGTGTGTGTCTGGTGTACTGCAGAAGTCTGTCCTGTACATGTGTGTGTCTGGTGTACTGCAGAAGTCAGTCCTGTACATGTGTGTGTCTGGTGTACTGCAGAAGTCAGTCCTGTACATGTGTGTGTCTGGTGTACTGCAGAAGTCTGTCCTGTACATGTGTGTGTCTGGTGTACTGCAGAAGTCTGTCCTGTACATGTGTGTGTCTGGTGTACTGCAGAAGTCTGTCCTGTACATGTGTGTGTCTGGTGTACTGCAGAAGTCAGTCCTGTACATGTGTGTGTCTGGTGTACTGCAGAAGTCTGTCCTGTACATGTGTGTGTCTGGTGTACTGCAGAAGTCTGTCCTGTACATGTGTGTGTCTGGTGTACTGCAGAAGTCTGTCCTGTACATGTGTGTGTCTGGTGTACTGCAGAAGTCTGTCCTGTACATGTGTGTGTCTGGTGTACTGCAGAAGTCTGTCCTGTACATGTGTGTGTCTGGTGTACTGCAGAAGTCTGTCCTGTACATGTGTGTGTCTGGTGTACTGCAGAAGTCAGTCCTGTACATGTGTGTGTCTGGTGTACTGCAGAAGTCAGTCCTGTACATGTGTGTGTCTGGTGTACTGCAGAAGTCTGTCCTGTACATGTGTGTGTCTGGTGTACTGCAGAAGTCTGTCCTGTACATGTGTGTGTCTGGTGTACTGCAGAAGTCTGTCCTGTACATGTGTGTGTCTGGTGTACTGCAGAAGTCTGTCCTGTACATGTGTGTGTCTGGTGTACTGCAGAAGTCAGTCCTGTACATGTGTGTGTCTGGTGTACTGCAGAAGTCAGTCCTGTACATGTGTGTGTCTGGTGTACTGCAGAAGTCTGTCCTGTACATGTGTGTGTCTGGTGTACTGCAGAAGTCTGTCCTGTACATGTGTGTGTCTGGTGTACTGCAGAAGTCTGTCCTGTACATGTGTGTGTCTGGTGTACTGCAGAAGTCTGTCCTGTACATGTGTGTGTCTGGTGTACTGCAGAAGTCTGTCCTGTACATGTGTGTGTCTGGTGTACTGCAGAAGTCTGTCCTGTACATGTGTGTGTCTGGTGTACTGCAGAAGTCTGTCCTGTACATGTGTGTGTCTGGTGTACTGCAGAAGTCTGTCCTGTACATGTGTGTGTCTGGTGTACTGCAGAAGTCTGTCCTGTACATGTGTGTGTCTGGTGTACTGCAGAAGTCAGTCCTGTACATGTGTGTGTCTGGTGTACTGCAGAAGTCAGTCCTGTACATGTGTGTGTCTGGTGTACTGCAGAAGTCTGTCCTGTACATGTGTGTGTCTGGTGTACTGCAGAAGTCTGTCCTGTACATGTGTGTGTCTGGTGTACTGCAGAAGTCTGTCCTGTACATGTGTGTGTCTGGTGTACTGCAGAAGTCTGTCCTGTACATGTGTGTGTCTGGTGTACTGCAGAAGTCAGTCCTGTACATGTGTGTGTCTGGTGTACTGCAGAAGTCAGTCCTGTACATGTGTGTGTCTGGTGTACTGCAGAAGTCTGTCCTGTACATGTGTGTGTCTGGTGTACTGCAGAAGTCTGTCCTGTACATGTGTGTGTCTGGTGTACTGCAGAAGTCTGTCCTGTACATGTGTGTGTCTGGTGTACTGCAGAAGTCAGTCCTGTACATGTGTGTGTCTGGTGTACTGCAGAAGTCTGTCCTGTACATGTGTGTGTCTGGTGTACTGCAGAAGTCTGTCCTGTACATGTGTGTGTCTGGTGTACTGCAGAAGTCTGTCCTGTACATGTGTGTGTCTGGTGTACTGCAGAAGTCTGTCCTGTACATGTGTGTGTCTGGTGTACTGCAGAAGTCTGTCCTGTACATGTGTGTGTCTGGTGTACTGCAGAAGTCTGTCCTGTACATGTGTGTGTCTGGTGTACTGCAGAAGTCTGGAGTCCCTGTACATGTGTGTGTCTGGTGTACTGCAGAAGTCTGTCCTGTACATGTGTGTGTCTGGTGTACTGCAGAAGTCTGTCCTGTACATGTGTGTGTCTGGTGTACTGCAGAAGTCTGTCCTGTACATGTGTGTGTCTGTGTGTACTGCAGAAGTCTGTCCTGTACATGTGTGTGTCTGGTGTACTGCAGAAGTCAGTCCTGTACATGTGTGTGTCTGGTGTACTGCAGAAGTCAGTCCTGTACATGTGTGTGTCTGGTGTACTGCAGAAGTCTGTCCTGTACATGTGTGTGTCTGGTGTACTGCAGAAGTCTGTCCTGTACATGTGTGTGTCTGGTGTACTGCAGAAGTCTGTCCTGTACATGTGTGTGTCTGGTGTACTGCAGAAGTCAGTCCTGTACATGTGTGTGTCTGGTGTACTGCAGAAGTCTGTCCTGTACATGTGTGTGTCTGGTGTACTGCAGAAGTCAGTCCTGTACATGTGTGTGTCTGGTGTACTGCAGAAGTCTGTCCTGTACATGTGTGTGGCAAACAAAATGAAACAATGGATAAAACAAATTGAAGAAGACGCAAAAACACAAAATATTTCATTAATCCACCTGGTATCCACCTGGTATCCACCTGGTAGATCTGACGAAGGATAACTGGAGCACATTTCTTGAAGCACTATAGGCACATCCCCAAGCCCAGTCAAAGGAGATCAGTGAGGTTTTTTAGCAGGTGAGGCCACTTTTAAAGAGGCTAAGTCCTGCAGTACCCGGGCCTCCCCCGGGTCGTTCCCCTCCCTCTGGGCCCTCTCCCCCGGGTCGCACCCCTCCCTCTAGGCCCTCTCCGGGTCGCTCCCCTCCCTCTGGGCCCTCTCCGGGTCGCTCCCCTCCCTCTGGGCCCTCTCCGGGTCGCTCCCCTCCCTCTGGGCCCTCTCCGGGTCGCTCCCCTCCCTCTGGGCCCTCTCCGGGTCGCTCCCCTCCCTCTGGGCCCTCTCCGGGTCGCTACCCTCCCTCTGGGCCCTCTCCGGGTCGCTCCCCTCCCTCTGGGCCCTCTCCGGGTCGCTCCCCTCCCTCTGGGCCCTCTCCGGGTCGCTCCCCTCCCTCTGGGCCCTCTCCGGGTCGCTACCCTCCCTCTGGGCCCTCTCCGGGTCGTCGCTACCCTCCCTCTGGGCCCTCTCCGGGTCGCTACCCTCCCTCTGGGCCCTCTCCGGGTCGCTCCCCTCCCTCTGGGCCCTCTCCGGGTCGCTCCCCTCCATCTGGGCCCTCTCCCCCGGGTCGCTACCCTCCCTCTGGGCCCTCTCCCCCGGGTCGTTCCCCTCCCTCTGGGGAGTAGTAGTAGTAGTATTAGTAATACCTTTTAGTAGTAGAAGTAGTAGTACCTTTAGATGTAGCTGTAGTAGTATTATTAGTAATACCTTGTCGTAGTAGTAGTATTAGCAGTAACTTGTAGTAGCAGCAGTAGCAGTAGCAGTAGTAGTAGCAGTAGTAGTACCTTATAGCAGCAGTAGCAGTAGTAGCAGTAGTAGTAGTACCTTGTAGCAGCAGCAGTAGTAGTAGTAGTAGTAGTAGTAGTAGCAGCAGTAGTAGCAGTAGTAGTAGCAGTAGCAGTAGTAGTACCTTGTAGCAGCAGTAGCAGTAGTAGTAGTAGCAGTAGTAGTACCTTGTAGCAGCAGTAGCAGCAGTAGTAGTAGCAGTAGTAGCAGTAGTAGTGCCTTGTAGCAGCAGTAGTAGCAGCAGTAGTAGCAGTAGTAGTACCTTGTAGCAGCAGTAGTAGCAGCAGTAGTAGCAGTAGTAGTAGTACCTTGTAGCAGCAGTAGTAGCAGTAGTAGTAGTAGTAGTACCTTGTAGCAGCAGTAGTAGCAGTAGTAGTAGTACCTTGTAGCAGCAGTAGTAGCAGTTGTAGCAGTAGTAGTAGTACCTTGTAGCAGCAGTAGTAGCAATAGCAGCAGTAGTAGTAGTAGTAGTACCTTGTAACAGCAGTTGTAGTAGTATTAGTACCTTGTAGCAGCAGCAGTAGCAGTAGTAGCAGTAGTAGTAGTACCTTGTAGCAGCAGTAGTAGCATTAGCAGTAGCAGTAGTAGTAGTACCTTGTAGCAGCAGTAGTAGTAGTAGTATTAGTACCTTGTAGCAGCAGCAGTAGCAGTAGTAGCAGTAGTAGCAGTAGTAGTAGTACCTTGTAGCAGCAGTAGTAGTAGTAGTATTAGTACCTTGTAGCAGCAGCAGTAGCAGTAGTAGCAGTAGTAGTAGTACCTTGTAGCAGCAGTAGTAGCAGTAGCAGTAGCAGTAGTAGTAGTAGTAGTACCTTGTAGTAGCAGTAGCACAGTGGCAGGATGAACAGGAGAGTTATCAGTAGAATAATCAGGACTCTGATGATCAGGTTAAACCATTGAACTGCAAAAACAAAAACACCAGAGAAAACAGGTTAGATAAAGTACAAGTACAAGTACAAGTACAAGTACTTCTAGAGAAACTGGATTCACAGAGAAAATATCACGTCTCCAGGATCACAGAGAACGATAAAACACAGATGTTTTATCCCAAAACAGTTCCTGAGCTCTGAGGGGCTGGTGCTCTGTGGACTGGACTCTGACTGCCACCCCCCCGACCCAGACATGGATTAAGGGGAAGAAGATGGATGGATGGACAGATACTGAGCTCATCGCTCTTTCTCAAGTCAAAGAAAAGGAAGAAGCAGTTTTCTCTTTCTTTCATCAAGTTTAAAAACTGGAGTATTTTTAGTTTCTCACCATCTACCAACAGTATCAGCAGTAGTTTCAGCAGTAGTTTTAGCAGTAGTATCAGCAGTAGTTTCAGCAGTAGTATCAGCAGTAGTTTTAGCAGTAGTATCAGCAGTAGTTTTAGCAGTAGTTTCAGCAGTAGTTTCAGCAGTAGTTTCAGCAGTAGTATCAGCAGTAGTATCAGCAGTAGTATCAGCAGTAGTATCAGCAGTAGTATCAGCAGTAGTTTCAGCAGTAGTATCAGCAGTAGTATCAGCAGTAGTATCAGCAGTAGTATCAGCAGTAGTATCAGCAGTGGTTTCAGCAGTAGTATCAGCAGTAGTTTCAGCAGTAGTATCAGCAGTAGTATCAGCAGTAGTATCAGCAGTAGTTTCAGCAGTAGTTTCAGCAGTAGTATCAGCAGTAGTATCAGCAGTAGTTTCAGCAGTAGTATCAGCAGTAGTTTCAGCAGTAGTATCAGCAGTAGTTTTAGCAGTAGTATCAGCAGTAGTTTCAGCAGTAGTTTCAGCAGTAGTTTCAGCAGTAGTATCAGCAGTAGTATCAGCAGTAGTATCAGCAGTAGTTTCAGCAGTAGTTTCAGCAGTAGTATCAGTAGTAGTATCAGCAGTAGTATCAGCAGTAGTATCAGCAGTAGTATCAGCAGTAGTTTTAGCAGTAGTATCAGCAGTAGTTTCAGCAGTAGTTTTAGCAGTAGTATCAGCAGTAGTATCAGCAGTAGTATCAGCAGTAGTATCAGCAGTAGTTTCAGCAGTAGTTTCAGCAGTAGTATCAGTAGTAGTATCAGCAGTAGTATCAGCAGTAGTTTCAGCAGTAGTTTCAGCAGTAGTTTCAGCAGTAGTTTCAGCAGTAGTTTCAGCAGTAGTTTCAGCAGTAGTATCAGCAGTAGTTTCAGCAGTAGTTTCAGCAGTAGTATCAGCAGTAGTTTCAGCAGTAGTATCAGCAGTAGTTTCAGCAGTAGTATCAGCAGTAGTTTCAGCAGTAGTATCAGCAGTAGTTTCAGCAGCAGTATCAGCAGTAGTTTCAGCAGTAGTATCAGCAGTAGTTTCAGCAGTAGTATCAGCAGTAGTATCAGCAGTAGTATCAGCAGTAGTATCAGCAGTAGTTTCAGCAGTAGTTTCAGCAGTAGTTTCAGCAGTAGTATCAGCAGTAGTTTCAGCAGTAGTTTCAGCAGTAGTTTCAGCAGTAGTTTCAGCAGTAGTATCAGCAGTAGTATCAGCAGTAGTATCAGCAGTAGTTTCAGCAGTAGTTTCAGCAGTAGTATCAGCAGTAGTATCAGCAGTAGTATTAGCAGTAGTTTCAGCAGTAGTATCAGCAGTAGTTTCAGCAGTAGTATCAGCAGTAGTTTCAGCAGTAGTTGCAGTACTAGCAGCAGGAGTAGCAGTAGTGGTAATAGCAGGAGTAGCAACAGCAGTAGCGGTAACAGCAGTAGTAGCAGTAGTAGCAGTAGCAGTAGCAGTAGCAGTAGCAGCAGTAGTAGTAGCAGCAGTAGTAGCAGCAGTAGCAGTAGCAGCAGTAGCAGTAGCAGCAGTACTAGTAGCAGCAGTAGCAGTAGCAGTAGTAGTAATAGTAGTAGTAGCAGTAGTAGTAGTAGCAGTAGTAGTAGTAGTACCTTGTAGCAGCAGTAGCAGTAGTAGTAGTAGCAGCAGTAGCAGCAGTAGTAGCAACAGTAGTAGTAGCAGCAGTAGCAGTAACAGAAGCAGCAGCAGCAGTAGTAGTAGAAGTAGCAGCAGTAGCAGTAGCAGTAGCAGCAGCAGCAGCAGCAGTAGCAGCAGCAGCAGTAGCAGTAGCAGTAGTAGCAGTAGCAGCAGTAGCAGTAGGAGTAGTAACAGCAGCAGTAGCAGTAGTAGCAGTAGCAGCAGTAGGAGTAGTAACAGCAGCAGCAGCAGTAGTAGCAGTAGCAGCAGTAGCAGTAGCAGCAGTAGCAGTAGCAGCAGTAGCAGCAGCAGCAGTAGTAGTAACAGTAGTAGCAGCAGCAGTAGCAGTAGGAGTAGTAACAGCAGCAGTAGCAGTAGCAGCAGCAGTAGCAGTAGCAGCAGTAGCAGTAGCAGTAGCAGCAGCAGCAGCAGCAGTAGCAGCAGTAGCAGCAGCAGCAGTAGTAGCAGCAGTAGCAGCAGTAGCAGCAGCAGCAGTAGTAGCAGCAGTAGTAGTAGTAGCAGCAGTAGCAGCAGTAGCAGTAGCAGCAGCAGTAGCAGCAGTAGCAGCAGTAGCAGTAGCAGCAGCAGTAGCAGTATCTCGTACCTCCCAGCCTCAGCTCCAGTCTCTCGCTCTCGGAGGTGAAGCTGTGGTTGAACACCTGTAGGTGGTAAACACAGGTGTAGTCTCCTTTGTGGGCGGGGCCAGTGTGATTGAACAGGAAGTGTGCAGAGTGATTGACAGCAGGCAGGGTGTGGTTCCCAGAGGGAGAGAGCAGCTGGAAGGAGCCTCCTGGGAACTGAGGCTTCACCGAGCACTGGACCGAGAACTGAGACCCCAACTGCACACGCACCACCTGCACCCCGACCTGGGAGACCTGGACCTGGGAGACCTGGACCTGGGAGACCTGGACCTGGGAGACCTGGACCTGGGAGACCTGGACCTGGGAGTCCTGGACCTGGGAAGCCCCCACAGTCACAGAGAGGGACAGGACTGGACGGTTCAGTAAGTCTGCAGAGACAGAGACATCAGCTCCAGCAGAGATTTAAGTTAGACTTTGACTTTTACCTGAACACATCACCTCCGCACCTAACCAGGAGGAGACAGTGTCGTCATAAACACAGTCTCTCACTTTAGTCTTCCTCCTCTTCATGCAGACAGGTGAGATATCCCATGAAGGACTGTCTGGAAAACCATCTCTCTCATCTCCAGAAACAGCAGACCCACAGTCCAGGTCTCTGCACACAGCAGCTGAGTCCTCCTCGGTCCAGACTCCTCCTCTCTTCCCCACGCGTCCCCACTTTCCTCTGTGTCTGAGCTCCACTGTCCCGTCACAACGACTGGCCCCTCCCACCAGCCTGAGCGGCTCTGAGCAACACAACAACTCTTCAGACATACAAACATCACACACACATTTGAGAAAACTGGATTGGACACAGACAAGTGAGACACACAAACATGACAACATTTGGTTCTATTATAGAGCAACGGACAATACACTTATTTACACTTTATTTTAACACACACACACAAACACACACACTTACACAAACACATGAAGACACACACAAACAAACACATACACACAGACATGCATACACACTCAAACACGTACACACACAGAGACATACACACACATACACACACACAAATATACACAAACACACAGACAGATATACACAAACACGCACACACACCTACACAAACTGACTCACACAGACACACATGCACACACACACACGCACACACACAGATACACACATAAACAAACACGGGCCCACACAAAAATAAGCACACAAACACGCACACACATGCTGACACACACGCACACACATATAAACACACATGTGTGTCTGTGTGTGTGTACATGTGTGTGTCTGTGTACATGTGTGTGTGTGTCTGTACATGTGTGTGTGTGTGTGTACATGTGTGTATGTGTGTGTACATGTGTCTGTGTGTACATGTGTGTGTGTGCGTATGTGTGTGTGTCTGTGTGTGTGTCTGTCTATGTGTGGGTGTGTGTGTCTGTGTGTGTGTGTGTGTGTGTGTCTGTGTGTGTGTGTGTGTGCGTGTGTGTCTGTGTGTGTGTGTGTGTGTGTGTGTACATGTCTGTGTCTGTGTGTGTCTCTGTGTGTGTGTGTGTGTGTGTGTGTGTACGTACATGTGTGTGTCTGTCTGTGTGTGTGTGTCTGTGTCTGTGTGTGTGTCTGTGTGTACATGTGTGTGTGTGTGTGTCTGTGTGTGTGTGTGTGTGTGTCTGTGTGGGTGTGTGTCTATGTGTGGGTGTGTGTGTCTGTGTGTACACATGTGTGTGTGTACACATGTGTGTCTGTGTGTGTGTGTGTGTGTGTCTGTGTGGGTGTGTGTCTATGTGTGGGTGTGTGTGTCTGTGTGGGTGTGTGTGTCTGTGTGTACACATGTGTGTGTGTACACATGTGTGTCTGTGTGTGTGTCACTTCCAATGAAAATATAAAATATAAATAAATATAAATAAAAGCTGAAAGCATCAGTCTCAGTCATAAACAAAGAAAATCATTTGTTCCATTTTCATCTGATTTATAAAAATAATGTGATCAGAGTTATTTTAAATATGTGTATATTAGGGATGGGAAGATACACCAATTTGTATCAATAAACGGACGTGCGCATGCGCGACGCGAGTCCACCGACAAAAGCCACAGATCGATTCATGTCAGATAACTATTTTAGAGTACACCGGATTTCACACTATTGCATCGGTAAATTGCGATTTATGACATTTATGGATTGAATCAAAACGAAATAGTTTCACAACTTCACCTTTTGGCAGTGGATTGTGGGGAGGTGTTAGCACCAGCTGGCTGCTAACACAACGACATGGAATCACAGGAGCACAATGGGATATATTCACCAGTGAACTACAAATCAAAGGTTTGGAAGCTCGACAAATCTAATGCTATTTGAAAACTTTGCAACGCTGCCATTAAGTCCACCGGCAGCACAACCAACCTCATAGCCCACGTGAAACGGCGACACAATATAAACATTGAGGTGGCGGAGGCTAGTTCCGAGCCCGTCTCATGCGGTGAACCCAACATTTCAAAGTTTTTTAATGGACCGCTTGCCTCGAATTCTACCCGTGCCAAAGCTGTCACTGACGCCATAACTTACTTCATTTGTAAAGCTTTGCAGCCGTACAGCGTGACGGAGAACGAGGGTTTCCAAAACATGCTTCACCTTTTGGAGCCGCGGTTCAAAATTCCATGCAGAAAATGATTTACGGAGAAAGAAATACCTGCTTTGTACGAGAAAGTGAAAGGGGAGATTATGGAGTCACCACAGAGAGCCCAGAGAGTTGCGGTAACTGTGGATGGGTGGACGTCTTGTGCAACAGACTCGTACTTCACAGTTACGGTGCACTACGTGGATGAGGCTTGGTCTTTTCAAAGCCACGTCTTACAGACCAGAGTGTTTCACGAGTCGCACACGGGGATCAATCTAGCGGCCTTACTGCGAGATGTGTGTCAGGAGTGGAAGTTGGAGGACAAAAACGAGAGTTACGACTGTAACTACGGTTCTATGAATCCTGGATGACCGCCAGAGGCGGTGCTTAAGCACTGGATGATCATCCTCGCGCATGCACAGATCGAGAGTCAAATAACAACAAAGTCACCCGTGACCTCCGGTAGCTCACGCGAGAGTCTATAAAGCCACGTGACACCGGAAGCACAGTCCCTAGAACCTTTCTTGCACAAGGATTCCGAGGGACCGGGCGCTCTGGCGGTCATCCAGGATTCATAGAACCGTAGTTACAGTCGTAACTCTCGTTCTATTTCATCCTTCCTGACCGCCAGAGGCGGTGCTTAAGCACTGGATGACGAATATCAGCAAGGTCACGAGGAAACCAACCAGAACCTCACCTTACTGTGAAACAGATGAGCGGTGCCGCAGAACCCCCTGCAGGGGGTGCGGGGCGGCAACATTAACCCGATAAAACCTGGCGAAGGTGCTTGGGGACGACCATGACGCCGCCGCACAGATGACGTCCAACGACACACCACTCACAGCAGCCCACGAAGTTGACATGCCCCTCGTAGAATGGCACCTCACTCCAGGCGGTAACGGCAGCCCCCGCAAGGCATAGGCCTCTGTCACAACCCCCACGACCCAGTGGGAGAGACGCTGCTTGGACAGAGCCCGACCAACGCGAGGGCCGGCGCAGCAGACAAACAGGGCGTCTGAACGCCTTATCGAGGCCGTGGAGCGAATGTACACCTCCAGTGCACGAACAGGGCACAGAGGGTCAGGGGGCTCACCAGAACCAAAACGGGCCAATTGAAGGGGCCCGTCATACCGACCAGAAGACACCTTCGGGACAAAGGACACATCCGGCCACAGAGACACACCCGAGCCGTCAGGATGCCAACGACAACAGGCCCCGGTCACCGACAGAGCATGGAGTTCACTCACCCGCCGTCCGGAGGCCATAGCCAGGAGAAACGCTGTCTTCATAGACAGCCACTTGAGGGCAATCTCCCCCAAAGGCTCAAATGGCGGGGAACGCAGGGCATCAAGGACAACCGAGAGGTCCTAAGCCGGCACCACAGGACGACAGGGCGGGTGCAACCGGCGGGCACCTTTTAAAAACAGTAAAACGTCAGTAACACGACCGACACTAGTCCCACCAAACCCAGCGTGCCCACACGAAATCGCAGCAACGTATACCTTCAGGGTGGATGGAGAACGGCCTTTACTGAGCAGTTCCTGAAGGAAGGTCAGTATTGACGTCACTGAGCAGAGACGCGGGTCGAGTCCTCTGCCACGACACCACCCGTCGAACACGTTCCACTTACAGGAATACAGCCGGCGTGTGGACAGAGCCCGGGCATTGCACATGGTGCGTCCAATCTCCCCAGTATAGGCTGTAAACGCTAAACCGGTCCCCGGAGGTGCCACACCCAAAGCCGCAGGCGGCCGGGGTCCGGATGGAGAAGCCGGCCCCCCAGTTGAGACAGGAGATCCCGCCTGGAGGGAAGGGGCCAGGAGCTCCAGGACGTTGATATGGAGCCCCCTCTGCCGCACCGGCCAGACGCCCTGAACCGCACGCCCCTGCCACGTTGCGCCCCACCCTGTCAGGGACGCATCCGTATGTACCACCTCCCGGCGGGACGGCAGGGGACCCAGCGCGACGCCCGTCAGCACAAACGCCTTGTTGCGCCACCGGGACAGTGACTCCATACACCGAGGAGACACCAGCAACCGCCGACGCCTGTGAACAGGATTGGCCGGGTCCAGCCCCAGGCCATTGAGCCACATCTGCAGCGGGCGCAAGGACAAAAGACCCAGGGGGACCACAGACGAGGCTGCAATCAGCATGCCCAGGAGCCTGAGGAACGCCAGGTAAGGGAGCAACCGTCCTCGACGGAAGCCCGGGAGCAACGCCCGAATGTCCCCGACACGTCGAGGCAAGGGGCGGGCGGACATAGACAGGGAATCCAGAGCCATGCCCAGGAACAAAGCCTGCTGAGACGGCACCACATTGCTCTTTGCCAGGTTCACTCGCAGACCCAACCTGGTCACGTGCTCTATCACAGCCTGCGTATCCCGCAGAGACTGCTCGCGAGTGGGGGCACAGATCAGCCAATCGTCCAGATAGGGCAGGATCCTCAACCCCCTGGCCTGCAACGGGGAAAGAGCCGCCGCCACGCATCTCGTAAAGACCCGAGGAGAGAGCGAGAGGCCGAAGGGAAGCACCCTGAACTGGAAGTGCCTCCCCTGAAAGGCAAAACGAAGGAACCGGCAATGCTGAGGAGCAATCGGGACGTGAAAGTAGGCGTCCTTCAGGTCTATTGACGTGAACCAGTCCCCAGGGGACACCGCCTGGAGGACCTGCCGGACACGCAACATCTTGAAAGGGAGGACCTTCAAGAAAACATTCAGACGCCTCAGGTCCAAGACCCGGTCGCAAGTCGCCGGTCTTCTTCGGTACCAGAAAATAACGGGAATAAAAGCCCCCTGGATCCAGCAGGGGGTCGACAGGCACGATGGCATCCTTGTCCAGTAGAGTACGAATCTCCCGGACAAGTGCCTGCGCCCTGACCGGGTCCTGGATGACAGTCACAAGGACCCGGCCGGGAACAGGAGGCCGGCGGCGGAACTGGAGACAATACCCCACGGACAAAGTGGCCACAACCCATGCATCGGGGGATTGGGCCCTCCAGTAACCAAGTTGTCCCGGGGTAAACCGTCCCACCACCGGCCCCGGCGCCTCACCGGAGGGCACCCCGGGCTTTAGCAGGCCTGGGGGGGCGACGACTGGGACGCAGTGGAGCCTGAGCCGGGGGAAAGTTCCCGCGCCGAGCCCCATGAGCCGACGGCCCATCCACCGTCCGGGGCACAGAAAAACTCCGGGGCGGAGCCACCCGCCCGCGCACAGGGGCAGCAGAAGCGGACGCACGCGAGGGATGCCTGTGCAGTCCCACCAACTGCTGCCGGGTCTGAGTGGCCTGGACCGTGCGCTCCAGAGCCGCAATGGCAGCCGAGCCAAACAGCTCTCCAGGGAGCACAGGAACGCTCCTCAACACCCTGCGGCTGGCCTCGGAGAGAGGGGACTGCGCCAACCACACCTGGCGGCGAGTCTGAACCAGCGTAGAGGGGAGACGCCCCAGTTATTTATTTATTTTATTTATTTATTGTGGATGGCCCCTTGAGATGAATCATCTCTTTTTCGAGGGGGTCCGGTTATAAAACAAAGTTACATACATGACCACAAAGACAGACAAAACAATAAGCACATACAGTACATAAAGACAGAAAGAAAAAAAAAAAAAAAAAAGAAAATAATAATAATAATAATAATAATAATAATAATAATAACAATAACAATAACAATAATACAAATAAATAATAATACAAAATAAATAAATAAAAAGAAAAAGATTTTGCTCTTCCACACCATGCCCATCTCAAAACCTTGTACACATCCACTCCTTAGGTAACTTTGGGTACAGCTATTACTTTTATTTATTTATGCCTTGAACGCTACTTAAAGCAGTCACATGCCGACTTAAGGTGTGTAGCTAAAGCAGTTTTAACACTGGTAAGTGAGGAAATAGTTTTTATCGAAACTGGGAGATTGTTCAAGTCCTCAGGGGCTCTGTAGCAGAAAGCGTGTCTCCCAATCTCCTTATGTACTCTGGGAGTAATGAAAGTGACATGCTGTAGATGTCTCAGTGCATATGAAGAGGTAGCTCTCACCAGATGTTTTTGGAGATAGGGGGGGCATTGACTAGCACCATTGACACATTTAAAGATAAAAATGTACCAATGGTAAAGTCTCCTTTCCTTTGCCTGCAGCCAGTTCAGTTGGTCATAAAGAATACAGTGGTGTGTCGTGAAAGGACATCTTAAAACAAATCTACCGACTGCATTATAAAATAAATCCAGAGGTTTTAGGGTGGTTATGTTAGAACTGTGGAAAACGATGTCAGAGTAGTCCATTATTGGCAAAAGTAGTTGTTGAGCGATACGTTTTCTGGTTTCAAATGTAAAACATTCTATTGAACGATATAATTGACCCAAGCATTGCTTAATTTTTTTTCCAATGTAATCAATGTGTGGCTTAAATGTCAGCTCAGGTTCAATCCACAAGCCCAAATACCTAAAAGTGTCTACATTTGTTAAAGCTCTATCAGGAGTTATCTGAACATGGAGAGTAGGGGGGTGGGTTTTTTGATACCTTGTCTTGAACAACATTGTGCACAATTTTTTCACATTAAGAATGAGATTATGTTCTCTGAGCCATTTTTGAACACGATTAAACTCTAGCTGCAAGATATTTTGTATCTGAGTGACGCTGTCTTGAGATGTATAAATGACTGTATCATCAGCATATAGATGAACGTTTGAGGAAGAGCACACTTTGGGAAATTCGTTAATATATAACGAGAAAAGGAGTGGACCCAGTGATGAGCCTTGGGGCACTCCTTTTTCCATGAATGTGCAACTTGATTCA